CTGTCTGGCCTCTTGCATTGACTTGACTTTTATGCAGACAGAATGTCCATATTGTAGAGCTGGGTTCTGTGATTCTCACATGATGTGGCATGGTGGCCATTTAAATTTACAAGCTTGCTAACCTTTGTATGTTATCTGAAATTATTCAGGTTGAAGATCATGGTCTCAGCAGCAGCTTCTTTCCATTCATAGTTGCTGAGGATGATGTTTGCACTGAGATCTGTACACTTGAGAGAGAAATAGAATTGGCTATGACAGGTTTGTTCCTCGGAGGCCCTGGAAAACTGGAGGCACACAATCAAGCCATGGATTTCATCCATGAAATGGGATGGCTTCTCCACAGAAATAGTTTGAAGTCTAGGTTGGGGCACTTGGATCCCAACTCTGACTGTTTTCCTTTTGAACGGTTTAAGTACCTCATGGAGTTTTCTGTTGACCATGATTGGTGTGCTGTTGTAAATAAACTCCTGGGCATTCTTTTCAGTGGAATAGTGGGTGCAGGAGAGCAGCCTTTCTTGAAGTTTGCATTGCATGAGATGGGCCTCCTTCACCGAGTGGTGCGGAAAAATTCTAGGTCTCTTGTAGAACTACTGTTGAAATATGCTCCAGAGAGTGTAGCAGATGAACTAAATTTGGAACACAAATCCCTGGTTGAAAGTCATGGGGATTTCTTATTCAGACCTGATGTTGTAGGGCCCGCAGGTTTGACACCTCTTCATGTTGCTGCTGGTAGGGATGGATCCGAGGATATACTGGATGCACTGACCGATGATCCTGGAAAGGTAATCTAGTTCGTCTTTCCGCACCGTCTGTTTTGATGTTCACGGCGAGCCATATAAATTTGTTCTACCACGCATGCATTCTTCTACCAAACCGTTCATATCTTACTGCACCTGTGCTATATTTGCTTGGCCTTTAGAGCATTCTTACATGGTAGAGCTGGTATTGGGTTAATGGATTTTGACACTCGTGGCTCTACTCTTATTAGCATTCAATTTATCAATGAACTAGGGCCGAGTACTGCTGCTTCTGTTTAAAAAGATCTTGCCAATTTACCGCATGGATTTATGTAGTGCATGTTTGGCATAGCTAAATTTTATTTTTACAGCTGATCAAACATACTTTTTATCCACACATTTCGTAGGACCTACAACTTACTACCTGCTTATTATCCACACATTCCATATGAATCACAACTTATTAGAACTTATAAGCATGACCAAGCAAGCACTTGTATAATTAAATTGCTGGCGTTTTAATTCAGCTTGGAATTGAAGCTTGGAAGAGTGCTCGTGACAGCACAGGATATACGCCTGAAGACTATGCTCGACTGCGAGGCCACTATTCCTACATTCATCTAGTGCAAAAGAAAATTAACAAGAAAGTATCCTCTAGGCACGTGGTGGTTGATATTTCTGGCACTCTTTCTGATGGAAGCATCAATCAGAAGCAAAATGGAGGGGTTACAACTGGTTTTGAGATAGGAAGGAACATTAGGCAGTCTTGTAGGGTTTGTGATCAGAAGCTTGCTTATGGTATTGGCAGGCGATCTCTGGTTTACAGGCCTGCAATGCTCTCAATGGTGGCCATAGCTGCTGTGTGTGTTTGCGTGGCTCTTCTTTTCAAAAGCTCGCCTGAAGTTCTCTTTGTGTTCAGTCCCTTCAGGTGGGAACTGTTGGACTATGGTTCCGGCTGAGTTTGACACGAAACAAAGTGTATTAAAAGAAATAGGTCTTTTATATTTGTATAAGCTGTAGAGTTGATACAAGTACAGAAATAGCTCTTTTGACAAGATTTCAGAGTATTACCCTATTTATGTTGTTCCATGAAAATGTAATTTGCTTTGCTTTTTTGTGTTTGGGGAGTGTATCTGTAACTTTTATCGCTTAAATAAAAGCAACTTACTCATGAGATTGTCGTGAGATTTCTCTTCCGTGAAGCAATAGGCCACACCATGTTAGAAAGAAGCTATACATATTTAATGCTCTATTGAATACACGTCTACACGCTCCTCACATGAGGAGGGGGTCATGCCCAATAAAAAAATGCACTGGCTCACCTCTTGTGAGGGGGGTGTAGCACGGCTCTGAATGCACATGAGCTGTTCACTGCATTGGAAACTTTCCAGATGTTGCATAAATTATTTTTTATTTTGAAAAACGTCCCATTAATTTCTAATCTGCATGTGATGAGACGGGGTTGGTGTTTGTGCTTGATGGCAGAGACTATCGTGTTTGGGTTATGTCTAGCAAGTTGTTGACAGATGGAGTAACATAATGGATGCTGACAAGATGTAATTGGATAAAAAAAGTTGATTGCAGGAACGGACCCAGGATTGGATCCAAGATCGGGCTACTACGTGAAAAAAAAAATTTACATATAAAAAATTGATTTTTTACCAAAAAAAAAAAAAAAACCTTAAAAAAAAAAGTTCTTGGGCCTGAGGTGGGGGGGAGGGGGGGCTACAGCCCAGCCTAGCACCCCTAAATCCATCTCTAGTTGATTGTATTTAAAACAGTTCAATGATGAAATATCGTGTGCACTATGTTATTTATTATGTCAAGAATTATGTCACTATGATTGATCATGTTTCTATGCCTCGAAATTTGTGACAGGCTTCGAGTCACATTCATCAAGTAGCTAATGTCGATAATTTGCCAAGCATCTGGCATCAGCTCAAGTATCGGCGGGGCCATGCAGGCATCTTTCATGAATAATTACTTTGTTGCATTTTGTTTAATTATTATTTTTAGTATCAGTGAATCACCATTGATTTAGTCTGAATCTGAAGTCATGTTAGGGAGACATAGTTGGCATTGTAGTACTACGTGAAAAAATATAAACAAGACTGTATTAACATTTTCATCCAGATTAAGGGTCCGATTATAATTAATTTTGAGTTTGCTTCATGTAGAAGAATTTTCTCAATTTACTTCGAAATTAATTCTCAAAAGAGAATTCTATTTCGAAAGTGCTTTTAGAGAAAAACACATTAAACCAACTTCTTTTGAAAACTCTTTTAATTAGAAGAAAACTTTTACAAAATTCATCAAATAAGTTCAAAATCAACTTTTGAATTTCAAAACCTCCTTTCAACTTTTCAAATACATGCCAAACGGAGTATATTCTCTCGTCCAACATATGTTTTGTCATCAATATTCTCACATTTTTCTTCTTTTAATCGTATGTTTATGTGTTGCCGCCTAATGGAGGGAGCCAAAATAATATAATAATGCTATTTTCAGTCGTTTACTGCGGTAGTCGCTGTACGTGGCATACACATGGCAGGTGGTTATTTGATGCATTAATGAATAAAAAAGCTACCACATTAATGTATCAAATAATCACCTGTCATGTGTATGCCACGTAGGGCGACAACCGCAGTGAGCGACTACGAATAGCATTACTCCAAAATAATATCATCTTCCATTAGAGAATCTTTATGTGAAATGTGGAGATTTGCATAGCTGGTTTCAAATCTTTGCTCAAATTGTGTTTTTGGTCCATGTCTTTCAAATGTGACACAAACGGTATTTTTGAAAAATACGTGCAATGCAGTTGTCCATTTTTTTTTTCCATGGATAATTTCATCAAATGACTTTTATCCACTTAAAATGCCCTCAAAAAACAGAAAATATAATTTCAAAACGGAAAAAAATTAAAAATGAAAAGTTTTATCTTCTTCCTCCCATTCCACCGTCACTGCACTCATGAACAATCGGAAACTCTCATTGAAAAATGAAGAAAGTCATTTTATGTTTATATGCATACAAGAAGAAGACTACATATTATCTCTAATAACCTTCATATATGCTAAACTTGAGTATTTTGGAGGGAACGATGAAAACTACAAATTGCACGGTCAAGTTATAGATAGATATATAGTTAAAGTGCAAATAATGAGGTCCAGATCCTACATGAAGCAGAACTTGCAACCTTTATTTCATTTTCTCCATTCTGTACTTCCCCTGAATCCAATTACAAGTTCATTTTCATTTTCATTTTACTGGTTTCAAGAAATTAATTGAAAAGATTGTTGTTTTCATATGCCAAAAAGGAAACTCATTTATTTGTAGAAAATTTATGTAAGGATTCAACTTTTCTATGCATCAATGCTATGAGTACAGATTTTTTTTTTACAGAATTGATACAGAAAGACAGTTGTCTTCTTGTAATTGGCCGTTGTCAAAAATAGTTTTTGGCAACAGCAATATTATATTAACAAAATAAACTTTTCTTTGACATAATATGAAGAAAAAAATTCATTCATGTTCATTTTCAATTGGAAATGTTACCACAATTACTTTTGTTCTATGTTTTTCAGTAAATTAAAGTATGTAATATCAATTTTAGTAAATGAGGCGTGTGACAATTTTGTTATGCTTGCAAGTCCTCATAGCTGTAGAAAAGTTGCAGAGTTTCCGTCCTGCCCTTTTAGACGTGGCGATAGTTGCAGTGTAGGGTGGATTGAGGGAATGATAATTTTTTTTTTTAGAGTGAGAAAATCATTTCATGAAATTCTCCCTTGAAATAAAAATATAATTACGATTACATTGTGCCCACATAGCTAACGGCCATAGTTAATTCCATCCAAAGGGACTATTTGTTAAAAAAAAAAAAATAATAATAATAATAATAATAAATAAATAAAATAAATTTGGAATCATTTGTACGACATTTGAAAGATTTGCACCAACCCTTATGTACCACAAGGGTTTTCTATGAAATTAATAGCATTAAAATGTCCGAAAGTGGATGGAAATGCGGTGAGCGTGGATCGTTTATATTTAGGCGGGCTCCCCTCATGTGAGGGTATGGAAACCATTATGTACCACAAGGGTTTTCTATGAAATTAATAGCATTAAAATGTCTGAAACTCTTGTTTTGAGATAAAAGACAACGAAAAAGGATGGAAATGCGGTGAGCGTGGATCGAACACGCGACCTTCAGATCTTCAGTCTGACGCTCTCCCAACTGAGCTATCCCCGCTTGTTGGGGAAGGAATTTAAACAAATAATATATTTTCAAAACCAAATTACAATCTTCCTCCCCCAGTAATCCAGTTTCAGCGAGGTTTCGAAAGGGCAATTGGGAGTTGTAGAAGAAGATGGGGCGTGCCAAGGTTCAATCCTTCAGACAACAATTCTCTTTCGGTTCGTTCTTTCTCTTTTATTAATTATCTTTTCGACAAAATGTCGCTATTAATAATTAATCCATGTTTAATTCAATGATAATATACAGAAGAAAGATGCCAAGAATCACAAGAAATCATCGTCAATTATCCCGACCGAGTACCGGTAACGTATTCTTTTTACCTTTTTCACAATAATTTTGTTCTTAGTGTTCGATATCAATTGAACTAGATGCTGAAATAATTGCAAGTTTATTCGTTATTTGAATTTATAATATGCATCTTAAGTATCAAAATATGGGGCAGTTTGCAATTTCTAAACTGTCGATGTTAAATGCTTTTCCAAATTTTGGATTGGTAAAGGAAGCTTGGAGGCTTTAATTTGCTGAGTTCATCTAAAAAGGACCTAATTGCCAGTCATTTTCTTTGCATTTATATCAGTTTTCTTATGAGACATTGCATGGTAGGACATGTTAATTGTAAAATCCCAAGTCAGCTACTTATAAAAATGATAACTAAGATATAAGGGTCTGGGCTACCCCAAGATTTACTAGGACAGACTCTCAAATACGTCACAAAATAGTGCGACATTGTCACGTTAATGTGCCCTAGAAGCAATTTATCTCGTAAACCTTGCTAAGTACCTTGTCATCACTCCATGATGGCTCTGATTCCGGCCAATTCCCTTCTACTTCATCCTTTTACTTTTCACTTTCTTCATTGCCATACAAAATGATTAAGGATGGAGTGCTTAGGATCTGCAGAATTCTAAAACTGCAGAACCAACTTGTTTCATACCTGAAGAACAAGATTTACACTCTACGCTTTAATCTATGCTGAGATGGGAAGGGGGAGTGATGACGAACACAACCATACAAAAGCAAGATTGAGAAAGAAAGAGAAGAAGAGTGAGAGAATAGAAATAAACTGGGGAAAAAAGTATCATTTTTTATTCATATCAAAATTTTATATATGACTATGCATAAGCCCCTTCATTTAAACTAGTCCTAATTGAAGTAGGAAAATACTGAAAAATCTATTCAATCAAACCCTAATCATGTTATCTAAAATAAGCGTCTAATTTGAAAAGTAAATTAAATAGTATCTTTACTAAGATTCCCATCGGGGGGAGGTAAAGATATCTGCAGCTTTCAACCTTGATCTGTATACTTGAAAATTGCATTTGTAATTTATCTAACTACGGGGTCAAGAGCTTTAATCTTTGCAGAAGGCAGAGTTGGTGTATACTTGATTGACTGAATAAAAAATTGATAATTGTTAAATTCTTGGTGCCACCATCCACTGAGAGCAATTTCATAATCCTTTCAGATTAATCTCAAGTTTATCATGCCATTATTTTCATTTTCTGCTTATTACAGGTGGTAGTTGAGAGGTATTCCAAAACTGACCTCCCTGAGATGGAGAAGAGAAAGTAAGATATGGGTGTTATGGCCATCACTAAACTTCCCTTTGCTTTCTCGCCCTTTTTATGCCAAGTGGTACTAGTTACTTCAAATAGGCAATATATCTCCGTTCTCTTCTTATTTATGGCTGTTTACAGGGAATGTGCATGTACACTTGCCTTTCTTCGTAATACATTAATACAATGACATCATTTGTTTGTGGGTCTTTTTGTGCTCTATGCATCCAAAGAACAAAATATATTAGAAAAACAGACAGACTAGTTAAACAGAACAGCTTTCTTGATAGTACCCTTAGTCATTTAATCGTACTAATTTTTGTGAACAATGCTTTCCAGTGTGTGAAAATTATCCTGGCATCTCTCGCCAACTACATGCAGAACAATCATTGTTCCAAAATTGTTTAGGACTCGTTTAACTTTTTCTGTGTACTGGTGCCGTGTTCAAGAAAGAAGGCTGGTTTAATGTTCTTTTGTGTAAGCTATTCTTCTCTTCCCAAGATAGTAATTTAACTTTGAATTTAGACGTGTCCACCACATGTCATTCTAGCAAGATGCTCTAGGCATGAGGTGTAGTTGTTCCTTTATCAGAAGAAATCAATTTGTTTCTGGAAGTCATTCCTCAATTGATAAGTTTTACTGAAGTGGGGGCTTGTGGTGAGTCTCTGTCTGTACCCCCTCAGTTAATGCATCTGTCTCTTTCTGCATTCATGTCATTCAAACAGAATTGTATTTTGGAAACTCAAAATTGATTTTTATTCAACATTTTTTAGTTGCAAATCTTCTTGTGTCATTTATTATTAGTGACTAGCCTGTGAATCAAAGTTCAATCCTAAAATTTGTTGAAGATCGAAGTTATTCATGAACTGAGATGTGACGATCAAATCCTTCATTTGCTTTTGACGGCAGATTCCTGGTCCCCCGAGACATGTCTGTTGGGCAATTCATTTACATCCTGAGTGGCAGGCTCCATCTGAGTCCTGGGAAAGCTCTCTTTGTATTCGTGAAAGATACCTTACCTCAAACATGTAAAATCTCCATTACCTCTCTTAATTATCCTTGGAGTAGTAATGATATGCGGTTCCTTCATAAGGGGTGATCTGTTTATGTTGTTAACTGTTGGTTGCAGCAAGCTTGATGGAGTCTGTATACGATTCATACAAGGATGATGATGGGTTCCTCTACATGTGTTACAGCAGCGAGAAAACCTTTGGTTGTTTTCTTAACCCAGTATGATGCCACCACTTATCTTGATTATTGTACTGTTCTTGTTTTGATATCATGTGGGGATATGGGCAACTATTTCGTTTCTTTAAATTCACCTCTAATCAGAAGTGTTTAAATCAAACGTGTGACAATATTGTGCATCTTCTAACAATGAGGTGCTGTTTGGAATAAAGGTTTGGATAGTATTTGTTTCTGTAAATTCACCTGTAATTAGAAGCATTTATATCTACGTTAAAAAATATCCACGTGAAACAGATATTTGTATGTTGCTTGCGAGTTGTGTGTCAGGTTATTGAGAAGCAATGTTTATACCGACGGTACGGATTGTTGTTGTTTTGTACATAAAACAGAAGTTTGTCATCGTCATCGATGCACACAATATAGAGTCCAAATCGCCATTTATAGTCACAAATAGATTCGTAGTTAGTTCGTGGTTAACAATTAAAACTGCACAGGAAATTGAAGAAAAAGCATAGCCTTGAGGGACCAAGATACATGGAAGCTCTGAACGAATTGGGATTTTTATTTTCCAGTATACAAATTATAATGGAATGAAAACTATGACTTTCAACAATTCACAGCAAATCAGACGGGTAATCTGAGCATCATTTGAATTCATTCAAGAAACAAAAAGTTCCAAGATTCATTATAATATACAATTTCATATAAATACGATACTGTGGAAATTCCCACACATGCAGTGTTTCAACACAGTTGAGAACACCTAAAAGCTTAGAACTGATAATCCGTCATTCTATGGCAACCATCCCTGCACCTTTAGATTGAAGACTTCAGTAGAAAAAATACATGTACATGAACAGGGCGTAAAAACATGGACCTTTGTCAAAAGGGGAAACCCCAGCAGCATTCGGCAAAAACTGTTTTAACTTGGACTTCAAATTACTGCAGAAGCAACTCATCAAAAAAGCTAGCTCAACTTAGAAAGTCGTCAAACCAACAGATGGAGACTTCAAATTACTTTCAGTTCCTCAAAACTTATCTCCTTTCGCTTCAAATTTTCGTCCCTTTCGACGGAACTGCCAAAAGCCTCTGACCTCCACCATTTCGCCAAACGCCATGCACAGGCAAACCTTCCGAAGCATTATCCTGCTTGTCTGAGGCTGCCTTCCTCTGATTTAGGTCAGAATCTGAATCAGGATCCGAATTTTTATGATCCAAGAATGCTTCGGCAGAGCCATCACCTAGGCGGTTTCTGTGGAACTTCGAGGTTTTTTTCTGTTGTTTACCTTTTCCATTACCATTTCCTGAATTTTGATTGGACATACCACCAGCTGACGTAGAGTTGTTCTTGCTTTTCTGCTTTATAGATTCGCTCGATCCTCTCAATTCAGCTCGTGAGTCGTCAATCACCATGTTTGATTTGCCTTTTCGAGCTCGATACTCATCCTTAGACAACACTTCTACATCTTCATCTGAAGGCTTGTTGCTCGACTGCAGTTCTTTTACAGTGCTAACAAAGTTGTCTGCTAAGTTATTTTGTGAAATGCTCTTTCCAGAATCTAAAGCTTTGCCTTTGCCTTTGCCTTTACCTTTCTTAGAACTATTACCATCTTTCAAGCTAATACCACTACTACTATAAACATTCTCTCTTGAAGCGTTGTATTTCATATTAGCATTGTACGTATCAATCAACTCTCTCTGCTTTCGAGCATCAGGAAGGAGTCTAGTCAAGTCTAGAACAAGATGCGACAAACCAAACTGTTCCACACAAGCTAGATATGTTTCAGTGTCCATTAAATCTTGACGAAATTCACTGGATATCATTTTAAAAGCAGTGTATTTCTCCTCGTCAAACCCTAGAGCAGCACGCATTTTCTCCACCAAAGATTTGTTTGCACTGTGAACGTCTTCCACCTTCAAAACAGCTTGGTCACTCGCAGGTTTCTTGCTAGGGTGAGCTACAGAAACTGGAGGGAAACCAGAATAGGAAGAGTCAAAAGATACCCTCTGAGAAAGATTAGGGGCTGATGTGGAATGACTGATCAGATTTGTGTTCCCACTATTCTTGGATGAACTTAAAGAACCTGCAAATGATGAATCGTGAATTGACAAGGGTCGTGCTTGAGCAGAACTTGAATGACTAGATAAAGCCGCTCCATTTTCCATAGCACGGCCAGAGCTAGATGCTGAACCAGAAGCAGAATTTAGCGCAGGCCAAGCATGAGGATTAACTGTTGGTTTCACACGTGCTGGTGCTTGTTTAGACTTGCCGGAGCTAGATGCTGACCTAGAACCAGTATCTATCGCAGGCCATGCATTTGAAGTAATAGCTGGTTGGGCAGGGGTACGGCTCGCAGCTGACCAAGGCACAGCAGAACTAGATGCATTGATTTTTCTATTGCTCTGACGTCGGAGTTGTGCAGCCATAGTGTTCTTGTGTAAAATATCTGGTTGAGAGTCTTGTTGACCACCTCCTGGAGCCATAGAGAGTGGAGGAAACAAAGACTCGAGTGTAGAATTTCTTGTTATCTGTGACACGGCTTGAAGGTATCTTGAAGTTGGCTCAGCATCAGCGGTAGCTAAAGATTCAAGAGGTGGAATAAGAGACTCAACATCACTAATGTCTCCATGATCAGCACCTGCATTGGAACTAGACGATGTGACATGAAATCTACCATCTGAACTGGCTGTCTGTAGACTTGCTTGGATTGCCATAGAGAGTTCATTATCAGAAGTATCACGATGGAAGTTACGTCCCCTTCCACGCCGATTATCCTGTTCATTACTTCGCCGATATCGAAAACTGATAGGTATCTACGCAAGGATAAACCAAGACAGCATGTTTTAATACTCATGTAATAAAGAGAAAAATGAAAGATGAGTCATTCAACAAAAGGGGTTGGCTCTAAATGAATAGTGCAGTAGTTACTAATTAGACAAAGGGGGTGGGGGTCAATTAAGTTGGATAAAGATACCTGAAGAGCAGCACTACGCTGTGAACGAGACATACGGCCTCCATGCTCTAAAGCGTTGTGCTTCTGAATTGAACAAGCAAAAAATTCAAGAAACTGTTAAACACCAGAAAATTAAGGAATAATAGATAGATTATAAAGGTCATTGTCCATGCAAGGCTGAAAAATTAACATAGCAATCTTCAAGCATGAATGTTAACAAAAATGCATATGCAGGATTTGCAGACCTTCAATTCAGGTTCAAATTGGAAGACAATGAACTTTTTGGCGAGGCATGCCTCATCCTCGCACAAGAAATGATCTCGGCGGAAGTGCACCTGAAAAAGAAAATAAAAATTCCTTTCGGATAAACAAATTAAGGAAGCAATTATGAAGATTTCAAGAAACTGCCATGTAGTAACCTCTAACCTCCAAGTCGTCATAATTCTTGTAATACTCAAATTGTCCTGGATTCTGCCTGCAAGAAACAAAATAAGATTACAATAAATTCTACATATGTTGATAAAATCCAATCAATAGTAAGCAGAAGCCCAGAAATCACCTTTGGCAGATATGACAAGTATAATGTTCAGTGGACATGTGCGTGTACAGCTCATTATCCCCGTAAAAAGGCGTCTTGCAGAATTCACACAGAGGATGCCCCATGAAACCACCTCTTTCACTTTCAGTTCCATCCACCTCAGAATCGCCAGTCTTTATATGCTGACTCAGTTGTGCTCTAGTGTATAACTTTTGTTCACATATAAAAACCTGATTGAATCAAAAGCAGCTTGTCAGGTCTTCTAGCCAAATTTATAATGAATCGACGTAGTTAAGAGGACAAATGCTGGATTCTTATTTAGAGGGGAAAAAAAAAGAAAAAGGGAAAAAAAAAAAAAAAAAAAACAATGGGGATATACATCATCTAATGTAAAAATTGAAGCTCAGAACTCAACATGCAGAGAACTGGAGTCAGCAGCATTTGTGTCAAAATACAGTCAAGATAATCCCTCTTTACCAAGGAAAATACAGTCAGCTAATGTCCTCAGATATAACAGGAGAAAATAAGTTATCAGACAAATTCTATTATTGATTGTGTGAGTTTCCATTTCCATCTACTGCATAAATGTGGCATGTTGACCAATGTAAACATCTCATGTGGAAATCTAAGAAGCACCAATACTTGTAAACTTGTTACGTACCCGCATCCGATATGTATCCAAGTTCCAATACTCTCCGATACCCTCCGATATGTACCGGGATGCTTTTTTTTTTTTAAATTATTTTACATATTAATACAGCAGCGGCGATCATCGCAGATGAATCGCAGGCGAGCGACACAAGTTGAGCAGACATCTTTGTGGCCGCACTCCCCGTACGCCACCCACTCCAACACCTCCGCACACACCGCACAGCTATCGTCCATCGCCATTGTTCTCTCGTCTAAGATTGATTCAGAATTGAAATCGAATGTGGATTGCGCGAACGAACGGGACAACAGGACGATCTAGGGTTTCTAGGTGGTCAAAAAACTCAAAATAGAAAAAATTAGACAAGACGGTTCATGTGATACAATAATATATATACGTAGAGTAGTCGAATAGCAGTACATTTAGGATTTCTAGTTTTGACGCGTATTGAAACGGGAATATGAATAGTTTATTGTACTTTTAAGTAAGTATTAAGTCCTTGATTGATTGAGGTTTTAATTTAAACTAAAATAAACAATCAATTTTAATAATATATTTTATGGGATTCACAATTTTATCAATTCTTATCAAAATATTCTAAAAATCTAGATTTAATCCCCACGGGGGCTAAGTATATGCAATAAAATAGGCATTTAAAAATTTAAAAGCCAATATTGTGATTGAATAATGCTACTTTGACAGAAAAGATTGACAGAAGCAATGCTAGATCTTAGGTGACGAGAAGTGATTTGATGTAAAAGATAATTGTGTTTTAAACCGTTCAATGATAAAGTACCATGTAATATTATGACAATCATTATATCAAGTATTATGACATTGGAGCATGGGGAGGGGTTGGGGTTGGGGTTAGCTTCAATTTTCGAAGCCACCCAAATGGATCAAAACCATATTGATTTGTCGATTGGATCGACTTTCAGTTAATATTTAACTCACGAAGAAGATAATGTGCTCCGTATCCTTAATGTTTAAATTAGAGAAATAAGGCGATTATTCAAATTTTTGAAAATCGGATATTTAAGAATTTTATTAATTTAAATAATTGGAAATGTGGGGCAATTTTTTTATTGATTATACAATATGTTTTGATTTCTAGTCTTTATCACTATTCGTGTTTGTAGAAACATGCATGGCATGTAGAACGTGCATAGGTAACAAAACATGACTGTGGTGCTAGTTTGGGGTAAAAAAAAAAAAGGTCACACGACACAAAAAATTAATTGTTTACTCAATTGTATTGATTATACAATATGTTTTGATTTCTAGTCTTTATCACTATTCGTGTTTGTAGAAACATGCATGGCATGTAGAACGTGCATAGGTAACAAAACATGACTGTGGTGCTAGTTTGGGGTAAAAAAAAAAAAGGTCACACGACACAAAAAATTAATTGTTTACTCAATTGTGATGGACGATTGATAAATATAGTTCAGCAATGCTTGTTGACACTTCAAGCAAGTTTGAGATAGCCAACGCTTAGATCCAGCTCTGTCCAAACTTTTTTGATTCATCCCAACATTCCCCACTTGTCCTTTTTTACATTCTCATTTGTGATGCAGTATAGACGATTTGATATGTTTTAATTAATTAACTATGATGAAAAAAAAATGCCTAATTAGATATTGAGTTTAATTGAATTTGGTCTAATATGAATATGTATTTTTAATTTGATGTGTTTAATTTTATTGAATTGGATAAAATTTAAATTAATTTAATTCCAAATTTATTTTTTATAAATGATTTGATGGTTTGCAAAAATTGAAATATAAATAAAACCACTTTGATTTGGTTCTAAATCAAAATATAGACAAAATTCATGTGGAACCAAATCTACAATTTCGAAAACCCAATTTGGAGTAGTATTTTGATGAAAAATTCGTGGTCAAAAATAAAATTAAAAAAGGATTTACATGTAATATATTTTATTAAAAAATACGTGGTTAAAAATAAGAGAGAAAAAAGTGTATTTTGAAAATTATGGGGACCAAACAAGTAATTATTGAATTTGGATTTTGACAATTTCGTTGTTCAACCATATTTGACCCACATTATTTGATGTTATAAATTTTGAATTAGTGTTGTTTGGAGAATGTGCGATAAGAAGAAAATGTTTTTGATTTATGTATAATAATATTTTATTAGAAAATATATGGTTAAAAAGAAGATAGGAAAAAATGTATTATAAATTTAATGGAGTTCAAACAAGTGCTAAATGCAATCATAAACCAAGCCCTAGTCTAGCCCAATGTTGGAACCCAACGTCGTCGATAGACCACCTAGTTGCAACCCTCTTAGAAAAGCCCTAATATTTTAGGAGACCATTGGTGGCATCTTTTAGAGTTAATTGTTCTGAGGAAAAATTACATAAAAACCAACATTTAAAGATTACTTTCAAAAAATAAGGGGAATCAATATTGGGGGACGTTTGTTTCCTATTTTTTGTAAAAATGAGAATGAAAAATATAGCTTTTATGGACTCTACACAAGTGATAAAAATTCAAATTTGGTGGCTTGAGCCTTGATATGATGAATAACGATCATATTTTTCATTTTAATGGAGAAAGAATGAAAAATAAATAGGGACTTAATTTCACAAATAAGATAGTAATTAAAAATTATTAAATTAATTAATACAGGTTTAATTATGGGTCCGTTTGATTCCTATTCTTTTGTCACAAAAATAAAAAATATGCCCGTTATCTATCGTATCAAGTCACCTTATTTGACTTTCTATCTCTTGTGTAGGTCTCGTAACAAATATATTTTTTATTCTCATTCTTAGAAAAATGGAAATCAAACGAGCTCTATAGAAAACAAATATGACCCAGTTTATTTTTCATTTTTTTGGCTAAAAAATGAAAAGTATGATCGTTATCAATCACATCAAATCATCGTATTTGATTTCGTCTTTTTAATGTGATTCCGACTATAATTTTCACTGAGAATAGAACGGAGGCTATATAAACATTTCCCCGCTTATGCCCAATCAATATTTCTCTCTCCTTTACCTCTTCTATTGTCTTTTCTTCCTTTCTTGTTACCGTCGTCGGAATCCATCGTAGTGGTGAGCGCCGACGAGCACTACGCAGTCGCTTCCAAGGTACAACATCAAGTCACCATATTTGATTTCCTCTTTTTAATGTGATTCCGACTATAATTTTCATTGAGAATCGAACGGAGGCTATATAAACATTTCCTCGCTTATGTCCAATCAATATTTCTCTCTCCTCTACCTCTTTTATTGTCTTTTCTTCCTTTCTTGTTCCTGTCGTTGGAATCCATCGTAGTGGTGAGCGTCGACGAGCACTGCGCAGTCGCTTCCAAGGTACAGCGTAGGTAATCCCTGCCATATCTCCCTATCTTCTCCTCTACCTCTCTATCTAACAGCGAAGCAATTCTTCACATAGTGTGTGTGGAAATTTCACCCTTTGGTCTTTCAAATGCCTAATCTTCAACACTCAATTTCTTGCCCATCAATTGCATCCTCTTCCCGTCACAGCAAAAACATGTCTTTTTTGGTAGATTCAAAATATGGGAGAGTGATGAAGTGAAGAAAAGCATAGGAATAGGTTGCTTTAATTTTGTCAATGCTGTGGAGAAAGACCTGTAGTTTGAAGTTGATCTAGATAAGGCCCGTGAAGCTTTGAGAAAGCTTGATGAATAGATTCTGTCTCTTTACAAAAAAACAAGTCAGTCCTCCCAAAAATTAGAAGTTACTTTTCTCTCTCTACTGTTTGTTTTGTGATTATTTGTTGTGATTTGCAATTAGATAACTAGTTTAAAGTAAAATTAGAACCAGAACTATATTTGTTTATGGATTACTATTAGATAGAGAATTAGTTTATCTGTTGCAAGGAAAACAAGAATTAAGAAGAGATGATGTTAAATTATTGATTGATCTCATTCACAAATATTCTTAACTGAGCTTTTAAAGAAGGAATTTTATATTGTGGTGTTAATTGTTGGTGATGTTTGGTAATATTTGAGGTGACGTTAGTATTCATGGTCATCGATTTGATTTGAGTTGAAGATGATAGTGGTGGTGCATTAGAGATAGTGACTAGTACTATCTATGGTGTGTGCAAATTTGTTTGTGATGACCTTCTATGACCAAATATGTATTTATTGTGACTGGTTGTGATCAATTTTATTTTGATTGTGACCTATTATGATTTGATCACATACCGTGACGATTAAAATTGACATAGTCATAGACAATCACATTGAAGACAAATTTAGTCACAGTTGGTCACACTGATGATAAATTTGATCACAGTTTAATCATAGATAACAATATGTTAGTGACTTGGTTACATACAATCACAAATTATACGGTCACATACAGTCACTTATAAATAAGTTATGATCAATTAATTTAATAATTTGTGATCGTGAAATAAGTTGTGATCTATAGCATTTGTGATTTGTGACTGAGAAATAAGTTGTGATCAATTAATTTGATAAATTTTAATCGAGAAATAACTTGTAACCTATTTACAATGTGGTTTGTTTTGTCGTGACTAGGTACTACATACAGAGGTTGTGTGTGATCGGGTTTGTTTAAACTGTTATTGTTTGTGATCATA